GCTATCTCTGCATATGCAACCCCGGACTTCAACCAAGTCTTGCTTTTGGACATGAGATCCCAAGCGCTTGTTACGTGACGCATATGAAGAGCGGCAATTTCTCTGAGGTGGCCTTGGGCATTGGTGCACAAGCAGGAACGTCTTCGATTCTCAGAAGCAAATCGGATGACAGGTGGTTCGAATAATTGATTGTGCCTACCGTGGTATGCTCGGGTGCTAGCCATTTTCGGTGGTATTATCTGTAAATGACTTGGTGATGGGATCGGCGCATCGTACTTATCCCCACCGCAGAGCCTAGTGCACAGTGCATGAGGTGTGGTTACGGTATTACACAGGTCGACCCATAACTCTCTAGATCCGCTACCGGTGTGCCCGGTCTCCATTTCATTTACCTGTTGAGATGACACTTTTCATTGAGCGACAGTATTGTTAAGCCCCTTGAACCGGAGCTCGGTTGACAGTCTGTTCTTATGTGATTGTCAGTGTTCCAATAGGCTAAGTACCGACTGCCTGCGTTGAAGCTTTGCCTTCATTATCCTATGCCTACACCCGTTGTATCTTGCTTATCTAGACAGGCTTTAGAGGAGAGCAGCTACAACGTCTCCCAACAGCAGAAGCTCCATCATACAGCGCCACTGCTCATGGTCGAAAGCCGTTTTTTTCGTATTCGTCATGTTCCTGAGACTGAGGGACGCCGTGGACACAAATGCTTCTTGAAGCGATGTTTAAGCAGTGCTTTGCTAAGCTCTGCTTCGCTCCTTTGCGCCTGCTTCACGGAACGTCTAGAAAGACGTTTATCCATCTAGATTCGTTTCACAGACGAGCTGTTGGGAGCAAGACAGTTTCTACCTTAACGACAGATTTTAGCACAATCCGAAGATCTCTGGTTTCACTAAATTACTTGGAATTCGGGTAACGTGTGCTCCCGTCAATTTGGTGGGCATAGTTGGAACGCTGAGTAGGTTGCTTATTGTGTTCCATTGGCTCAGGTCGTCCATCTGCTTTACTTTCAAGGGATTCGACATTCACCCGGAACGTTGGTACATGTTATGGATAAGGCAACCCGTAGTTTCCGAGTGTCTTTCAGAAAACTATAGTCGTGGTTGGAAGGCCAGATGACCTGCTTGCAGCAGTGCAGCATCGCCTGTTATATTAGCCTTGATTTTGCGGCTGAAGCTGCAGCTACCGACTTTGGAGTACTCTTGGATGCAAGTGCATCCCAGTTGGCATTGATATCGATTTGTTTCCTGACTTTCGGGGAAACTGGTGAGAGAAAATGGGCCCATGGGAAATGGCTGAAAATTGGCTAGAGATTAAGAGTTCGGGAATGGCTGGGTGGTTTGGAGTAGTGGCAGATTGGTTACTTACCGTGTTTGCACGTGTCATGTTGGCAGTAGACTGCCCAGGTTTCTGGATTTGGCTTGCAGTGTAATTCAGCGGTTAGGCATGGGTCATACATACGGCTATGTTTGTTCCTGCTGAAGCAAGTTTTGTGCTAAATATTTGCCCAACCACATATGCCAGCCTTTCATACCTCTGGGAAAATACAATTGCCATCTTAACTAATGCAACGGTAGTAAACCTTACGCAAAAGCAAAATAAGTCTGTTCTGCTACTAATCAGCCTCAATGCACTTAATATCAGGTTCCCGCATTTGGCATAGAAATGGACGTAGCGGTTAGAACTTGAAGTATATGCTTGACTATCTTTTTGCACATCACACAGACGCCATCAGCCACACCGGAGCGACCGTTAGCGCCCATGAGATCACGTTGATTTGGTGTCTACAATAAGCTCACTCTTGACCTCAAGTTAGCGGCCAGAACCTTCCTTTCGGCGCCAGGTTCACTGTACTTAGACTGCCTTACTATTTTTCTCTCTCGCAGCAGTGCGCAAACTGCGTGATTAAATAACTGGTTGTCTAGCGGTTGTCCGAATTCATTCACACGAAGGCGTGGCGTGTATTGACAGGTTTGCGCTAAATGACAAAACCAAAAGGATGTGCTAGCTTCACATCAGTTTTTACTGGAGAACCGAAGCAAACTGTCCAGCAGCTTTTAGATGCTGCAACCTACGAAGATGGTTTCAGGATTGTTTAAGAGTCCTCAGTTTCGTTTTCCGAATGCGACAAAAGAGTACGGAACAGCTCAGGAGTGTGGTAGTCGCACACGTAGGTTTCAGCAACGAATGTGCCAAGGCCATGAACTGGATCCACGGTATGATTCACGCTAGTTATATTCAAGAGGTCGTGAACACTGAGTAGCGCTCGTCAAGTTATGATCTACACCAAACGTCGTCCTCATTTGTAGATAACAATAGTTACCTTATGACTCCACAGTGAATACCCCACATCTCGGTTGCGCTGACTCCGTGGATGCAGGCCTGGGAACGGTCAGGCGTGGGTGCGATCCGGACGGCTTGCGTTGAAACCACTGACGGTCTGTCTTGTAGAGGCTCGCGTTCATTTACAATGAAGGCAACTGGATTATTAGAGCATTAAAACAAGGAAGCCAGTAGCGAAAAATGAGGAATATGTCATTTTGCAGAAGCTCATTTGTCTTTCGCATCACTGCATGTACAGTTAAGATTATGCCAACCGCGGTACGTACTGGCATTCAAGTCTACTGTTACTGGCATTATGGGTTCCTGCCTAGCATTTCCTGCAAAGCACTTACACCAGAGACACTCACTACGTAACATGTTATCCGAGCTTGCATCCGTTCGCTTTACCGGAAGTATCTATGAAACCATGTATGCGTGCACACGGTCCCACCGTCTACCGGTTATCCCTTAGCTATCAAGCTTTTGTTGGACCAGAAAAGTTTACTGAACTACTTACTAACTGACTAAGAATAAGAGCGGCTCACGCTACCCATGTTTTCGATCAAGATGATCTCCGTCGTCTCCAAATTGCTTGTGACTGTCGTTCTACACAGGCAGACTGGCACTCGAGAAAGTCAGATTCGTTAGGAGCAAGCCGGGTTTCATTGAGGTCGGGGCTGCATTGACCACAACCTCAGTCAGCGTCAATTTTTGGAGCATCGCCATGTTTATTGGTGACTCACCGTTGTCGTGTTTTGCAACGCCAAAGCTGCCTACGATTCGGTGAATCTAGTTAGCTTGTTGGAACTGTTTACTGAAGAAAGGTGTGTCCGATGAATAGGTAAACATTATCAGAGCGCTGTACGCGCATATTTCGGGCAGAGTGAGGGTTTATGGCAAACTGTCGCCACCCTACAATATCTCCAACGGTGCGAAACAAGGTTGCCCACTGTCACCTTTCCTTTTTAATTTCATCATTGACGAAGTCATGGAAACAACGTTAGCTGGACACTAGCTAGAAGGTGTGGAGCTACTTCCTGGTGAGCGACTTCTTGACGTGGAGTATGCGGACGATATTGCCCACATATGTGACAGCACCCAAACATGCTAATCAGCACTGGAAACCTTAGCACTAACTGTCAATCCTTTTGGGCTATGCTTTGTTCGATCGAAATGCAAAGTTCTCCAAGGTTGGCAGGAACTTACCTCCGCACTGACCCTTGTGGTAATCAGCTAGAAGTCATTCAAAAATTCAAGTACCTGGGTAGCTATAATAGCGCCCATAGGATCGAAGATAATGTTAAGAACCGTATGGTAAAAACTCCAGGTGGTTTTGTCAATCTTCGCCACATTTGGTGCCGACGTGACATCAATCTCGGCTTGAAGGATAGAGTTTACAATGCAGCTGACTGTTGTCGACCCTCATATACGGTTGTAAACTCTAGCCCAGCAGGTCGACGGACATAAATAGGCTAGTCAGGTACGATCATCGCTGCTTTCGCAATTTAGCTTATGCCTGGTGGGAACACCGCGTGAGCAATGAGCGTGTTCGGCTTCGCGTATTTGGTGCAGGAAGAGTAAGAGGACCGCTCAGCACCAGGTTCTGATGGCTGCGTCATGCCAGCACACTGACTCTCGAGACGTGTGTTGTCTGCGCGCCGGGGGGGTGGTTGGAAGAGGAGGAGGAGAGGCCAAGCCATGACCAGGTTGAGAAAAATGAATACACTCACTACGAAGTTGACATCGGTTGGTGTATGCCGACTACCGTACGGTGATCCGAGGGACGATAAATACGTTTGGTTGGACACAATTAATGATATGGCGAGTAGTCGGCTCCAATCGCGTTTGTGTTGCAAACTTCTTTGCCCATTCCATTCCTCTTTAGACTCCTCCTCCAATTACGGTCTCATGAAAATGCTTAATATAATAGTTGACATTATGTTACTTGCTTTTCAAATCTTTTTGTGGTGTACTTTTGTAGTATTTTATCTGTTTTGTATTGCGGCACACTAGCCGAAGTGCGTTGCGCGCCCTCAAGTCACGTATATTAAGGATGATGAGGACGCATGTTTGCGTAGGCGGCCCAGATCACCAATGTTAGCCTGTAAAAACATTCCCTTATTTTCATAACTGAAGTTTCACTCCCCTAGAATGCATAGAGCACACCGTTTAGGGAACGGAGTAGTGAGGCGGCCAATGCAGCTTCAACTTTTCAAATAAAACAGTTGTATATATGTTACTGAGAATGTGTAGGTGCCTTTCTCCAGAATCTTTACTTAGGGTATGCAGGTGTTTACCTTTGGTCCCATTGCTTATTTTATTGTCCATTATTCCCCAAGTCGTTCTAGCTGTACGGCAGCGAAGTATCAGTACGAACTACCGATGTTGTCCTGTTTCCGTTGCTGTTGTTATTAAGGCTGATGATAATGAACATTGATTTGAGCTGAATCAGGCAATCGTCGTACATAATAGCCGGATAAACTTCAATGAGAAAGCGTGTCTTTTAAGCAAAGATCGGTTTCTTTAGGTTCCCGATGCAGAATAATCCACGTCCCAATGAAGTAGTTTTATGAAATTATTAGCCAATCGTTTCAAAGAATGTTAAGAATGCATATACCTTCGGCATAACTGCATTCCTGACCTATGCACCGATTCCACTCTGTTATACTTTTCCACAGGAATGAACATTTTCGTTGCCTTTTTTCTGCTGCTTCTCCTATTGGCTGATTCTACACCTCAGGCGTCAACCAGTGTCCCTTACATAGGTAAGAACTGTTTACCTTTACTTTTAAATGAGTTATGTGTATGTATTTAACACTTGGCCAAGAAACAATTGGCGGAGTACCACAACACATAAGTAAAAACAACAAAAAGGATAAAAGAAACTGTCCGCAAAATGGTTTGGAGGGTTCATGTGTTGCGTCGGCAGTGAGTTTCCCAGTTCCCTAGGCCGGGGAAGAGGGCAGAATTAAGCGCCTCCACCCTAAGCATTTGGTCTTAAAGACCTGTTCCGCAAGGCAAGGGGAGCTTCATGCAAGTTTCTGAATACGAAGATCGTTGACAAATTGCTGGCTCATTCGCCTTCTTTGTGTTCTGTTGTAGTCCACACACAGAAGCCGGTGACCAACAAGATTGTTCGTTCGCCCTCCGATAGGTACTCACCACTGGGTACAGAAGTGAGTGGTTCCTGACCCTATGTCCGGTCACATTGCCTTTGACACAGCGCCGTATGAGCTCTTGTGGTATTTGATGGAGAATCAGGTGACCAGCCCAAAACTCCCTACACTCTGAAACGCTGCTGTTGATTGTCCGCGATTGCAAAGCAGACAAGACTTATTCGCAGTTACTTCCACAAGGAAGGCATTCCCCAATCCTCAACCTGGGGAAGTACCCGATAGTGTAAAGCTCCGCCAAGGGTTCGAATACCTTATTACATGTCACTGATAGCAAAGTTGAGCTTGCCCGGAGTAACGGCCTTGCTTACCTAAACAGATTTAATGACATGTGCGTCGCAAGTTGATTGGTTCTCTTTTTCATAAGCCATGAGAGTTAAACTGTTTTCCAAGGCGATTTGTTCCCTCTTGTAGTGCTGGATAGACCGTGTTACATCCAGTTGATGACTGGCGAGTCATACCAAGACACCGGAGTAGTATGCTATAAGGAAAGTTCGACTACGCCTACAGTCGTAGATAACCCTTGTTCCAGTATGGCGTTTCAGCAGCGCCTTTTGCCTACATCCGCATTAGAAGAGCCATTCAAATTGGCTGCAAGGCAAGTGAGGGCAGATTAATAGCAGAAAGGTAGATGTCTGTGTTTAAAACCGGGTATATATATATATATATATATATATATGCCGCGGTGGACAGCCAATGACATGGAGAAAGAGCATGAAGAAGGCAACCTCAAGTTTGGCGGCAGTTGGACCAGTCATTCTTCCAGACGGGAGACCACGAGATGCTGAATCCCAGTGGTTGCAAACATTAGATGTCATGGCCCACAACAGACATCAGCGGCTTCAACGTTTTTCTGCCATTTTCCCCCCCTTTAATGCACACAAACACTCGCGAGACAAACACAAAAAGAGCAAACTGGCGCGCGTAAAACTAAATAAATCGTTTTCCTTTTTTAGCGCGTTTTGTGTTTCCATTCTTTTTCTTTTGTTCTTTTGCCATGATTCTGATGGCACAATGTCTGTCAGCAGACTATATATATATATATACATATATATATATATATATATATATATATATATATATATATATATATATATATAGTCTGCTGACAGACACTGTGCCATCAGAATCATGGCAAAAGAACAAAAGAAAAACGATGGAAACACAAAACGCGATAAAAAAGGAAAACGCTTTATTTAGTTTTACGCGCGCCAGTTTGCTCTTTTTGTGTTTGTCTCGCGAGTGTTTGTGTGCATTAAAGGGGGGAAAATGGCAGAAAAACGTTGAAGCCGCTGATGTCTGTTGTGGGCCATGACATCTAATGTTTGCAACCACTGGGATTCAGCATCTCGTGGTCTCCCGTCTGGAAGAATGACTGGTCTAACTGAAGCCAAAGTTGAGATTGCTTTCTTGATGCTCTTTCTCCATGTCATTGGTTGTCCACCACGGCATATTTTCCAATCACTCCCTGTGAGTGAAAATAGCGCTTGATGTGAAAGGCGATGGGCTGGCATGCGCAAAACGTGCCCGATCCAACGCATGCGATGTCGGAGACTAAGGCTCTGAAGACTTACACTACTCGCTCTAAGCGCTCCGTCTCGGACCTCTGCGTTGCTTACATGGTGTTGCCACCACTCCCGAGCAATGCTTCGTAAACAGCGATTGTCGAAGACTGACAGCCGCTTCATATCTTTGGAGCGAATAGGCCAAGTCTCACAGCCGTACAAGAGTACTGCAAGGACGGAAGCATTGTACGCCCTGCCCTTGAGCTTGTGACTGACATCACGACGACGGCATAAGTGTCTCAGTTTGACGAATACAAGGCGGGTCTTCGCAACCCGTCGTGAGACATCGTCTTCAACATCGCCACCAGCCGTGATGCAATTCCCTAGATAAGTAAAGCAAGGAAGTTGCTCAGGAACATATCCAGCAATAATGAGCGCGGGTTCAGGCACCTGCTAGTCCTGGAGCAACGTTTTACATTTTCCCGGTGTGAAGCATAAGCCGTATTTAGAAGCTTCGATCGCTATGCGTTCCAAAGCACGCTGGACGGTTTGTGGGTCGTTCCCCAGTAAGGCGATATCATCGGCGTAATCGAAGTCCGTGACTCTGTCTCCAGGGAGGAGCTCAACACCGCAGTTCCGGACACCTTCCAGTGCTCTTTGGACAACATCGTTGGTGGCGAAATTGAGGAGGAAAGGTAAAATAGGGCAACCTTGGCGAACACCGCTGGTCACAGCAAACGAAGAAGAGGGCGTACCGTAAACCGTGGCTTTGCCCGACGTGCGGCTGTAAACTTCTTTCAGGATGGTTACAAACTTGTCGGGCACATCTTTCTTCAGTAAGCAGTTCTATAACGCCGATCTATCTACTGAACCGAATGCCACTCGGATGTTCAAATCAGTAGGATTGTTGGTCGCCGGTGGATGTGACGGGGTTCGAGATATTGGCGAAGCGTGCAGATTTGGTCGAGGCAGCCGCGGCCTGGATGAACTCCAGCTTGTTCTTTTGGGGGAAAACTCTTCTCTAGTCGTTGAAAGCCTGCGAAGTAGGACCTACATGAAGCTTTTGGATGCGATAAAGATCAACGGGTTTCCGCGGTACTTACAGCAATCGTCGCGGGAGCCTTTCTTGTGAATCGGAACAATGACCGATTCTCCCCAGGAGTTCGGGAAGTTCTCCTAAGTCCAAATGTTCGTGAACAGTGATAGGATTTCGCTGACGAGTATACTCCCGCCATTTTTGAATGGTGCCAGTGGTAGGCTGTCAGGACCAGCCGCCTTGTGGCGTTTCAAAGCTTAGATTGCATCTCGGCTCTCGACTTCACTTGGGGTGGTTGTGGAGGTAGGCCAGGCATAATCCATTGAGGCTGGAGGTGACATAGGGGCTTTGTTGGATGGTTGAATTGGAGAGCGAAATGCTCTGCCAAGCGACCTAATCGCCTGTGAAGGCTGGTGATCTTCGTGCTGTTTGATTTGCAAACCCTCTGGCTGATAGTGTGGGAATTGCAACCGATGGTCCTGATGATGTAAAACAGACGGCGGATTTTGCCAGCTGATGCAGCGGCTTCCATTGCATCACCTTGTTTTGACCACCCAAATTCACGATCAGAGCGAAGGCTTAGTTTCACCTGTTGCGTAATGGACCGGCGGTGTTTGTTGTACTCTGCGCCAGCAGGCACCGCGCGTCAGCAATCCAGCAATTTCGTGGTTCTTCACGAGATCCGGCTTTTGTGGGTGGAGCTAGCGAGGCCCCAGATGGACTAATCGGCCGACAACATGACTTATTACAGACTTGACCCGTACTGATCGACATCCAGAGTGAGAGAGAGCGAGATTTTCACGAAACCGTTGTTGATACTACTTCTTCACCATTGGATCCTCCAACTTGTAAATGTTCAGTCGGGTGTGTTTGGACCTAGGTGACCCACCGAAACACATGCAAACCTTCGCACATACCAGTGCATGATGGGTATCGACGTACGTTGACCAAAATGATCGGCAGTCGCGTACGTTGCTGCGCCACCTGCAACTTATGGCTATGTGGTCCTTCTGTGACCAGCGCTGAGTTGATGATGGGGGGGGTGCCAAGTGGTTTACTGGTGTCCAGGATGACGAAAGCTGGTGCTGGAGAGGAAAAGCTGATGAGCAGCACACAAACTGAATAGTTTCTCTCCGTTGTCTGAGCGAACGTCATCATATTCATGCGGTCCCCCGAGGTGGCGCTCACATAGCAGCAGCCGACCGACACGAGCGATGAAGTCTCCCGCCAAAACAATGATGTCTGTTTTAGGAGCCTTTAAGAGCAACTCATGAAGGTTCTGGTAGAACTATTCCTTGACTGTGTCCGAGCTACAGTCAGTAGGCGTGTAGAAAGAGATCAGGAAGAGAGCACGCTTTTCAACTCGACATCTGCTAACTTTACAAGAGCCATGAAGCCTCATCACATAAAGGCGACCATTGATCGGAATCCAATCAACCAGACCAGTCTCTGCTCTATAACTGAGGGCGATTCCAATACCAGCTTGCCCAAGTGCGGCAGACTCGGCGTAACCAGAGAGGCGAGGAAGGAAGCGGGTGCATGGGTGGAGCGGTGACGCTAGCTGGTAAACTGAGCTAGAGTCCTGGGGTCCCGTTTCATTCAGGCAGCACTTATCAATTTCTAGGGTTTCTAGCGTGCGTGTAAGTCCAGTCTATTGACCGATCTGCAGTAATGTGCGTACGTTGAAGCCTGCAAGTTTGAACTGCGTTCCGGGTTTCAGAAGCGAAGATGGGGGACTTTGGGACTGGCAGTTCTCTAAGCCAACACTGTGTAGTGGAGTTGGCAGATATCACGGGAACAGGTTAATCGGTGTAGGTGGGGTTGATCGCCATAGAGGAATCAGGTACAAAGGGGAGTGAATGATGCAAGGGAAATGTAGGTAAAATGGTGAAGTGTGTTTGTGAAGTTGGCATGGTAACATTAGTGAATGGCATCGTAGCAACAAGTCCATGGTTCGTCGGTAGGCGAGAAACTACCCCGTCGCCTAGGCCGAAGTAGGTAGGTTGTCTTAGGGGACCACCACCCCGAGTCTTTGGCTAAAGAGCCTAACA